AGCTCAATTGCCGAATGGGGGAAAGAAGGTATCACTGACACCATGATTGGCAATACGTAGCTATAGGACATTGAGAATTGGCTTAAGAGACCTACCATACGGCATGGTTAGCCGTTCGAACTACATTTTAGTAGTGACTTGCCTGTAGTTCAAAGTGAATTAACGGAACATTATTTAGATTGATACCAGATATGGGAGACCGAAGTGAGAGCATCAAAATAGCACGGTTCTATTATTAGCCCCCCCCTAACATCATTTGTGCCATGCAGGTGGCTGAATATAAACTCATTAGCCGTATAGTGAAGATTTACTAGGCATCAAATCGATCACCTTATCCAATCCTAAGCCAATTTCAACACATGAAGCCAGCCTTTAGCGTTTATGAGACATCGAGCTTCCACGGAAGTCTTATTAAAATGACTGGGGAATGAGTAGATAGATTATGTGCCAAGTAGCACTTCTGTTATTTTGAAGCATTACAGGCTTTAGCATAGCGAGCATTCGGTAGAGAATACGCAGAGCGGAATCCAATAATTCAATATCACCAAGATTTCACGATGCAATTCTGTTGGTTAGTGATTCGGGTTTCACTGGCCTTTGCTCTTTGCTTCTCTATTGTAATTTTTTAACGACGAATAAAGGTGTTAAGAGGCAACTCCCATGGGGAATTACGGATTGTATGCAAAGCCGTTACACCAGCCAATCTAAGTTCTGGACAGCTTGAATTAGGTTTTGTAGAGCTTTTCGGCCACGAGCCTAAACTCATCTCGTGTCTGTGCCACTTCTAGTGGCCGAATGGAGAAGGTTTCGGGACAAGTACTCACTAGTTGTATGGCGAAAACGTTCTGTCGCATGGGGTACTGCGGGATTCTTGGCATAAACACCGATGTAGTGGGATAGACTTCGAATGGCGCCTTCGTCGGCCACGTCTAGGCATCTGTGTCCTTGAATTCCGCGCTCGTTTGAACTCTAACTAGGTTCCTCCCTTGAATCACTTACGAGTTTGGCTTATACCCTTGCGCGGGTCGTGGATGGCAGAGTAGAAAGTCCTCGTCAACGAATGGTATGTGACGTGGCTCTCGATGCAGAATGTTGTATATATAAGTCCCAAACGTCTTCCGCAGCCTATCGATCATTTTTTAATATTACATAGCCTCTTTACATCATAGACATATCAAGACAGCCCTAGCAACTTCATCACTCACTATGGATAAGGTTAAGGAAGCCAAGAATGCCGTTACCGGCCAGACGTTAGTATTGTCTATACCCACACACCTACAAGTACAACACTAATACATTTTATGATAGCTCTGCCGACCAGACCGCGCAGAACCCCAAGGATGCCAAGAAGGATACCCTAGTCGACTCTGGTGTGTGCCTTCTCGTGCCTGATGATGCCTTCCCCTAACGAAGTAATTATAGCTGTCGACCAGTATGCCAACAAGAAGGGTGTTCCTGCTAGTGCTGACCCGGAGCTCAACAACCTCGTCAATGATGAAGTCAACAAGATGTAAACAGGGCAGCGCCTAACACCATTGTGTCATTTTTAATGAAACAACTTCAAGTCTATCCTTAATATACACAATTTTCATGTAATTTCCTTATTCTTAAGTGCTTTGCGGTGTCGCGCAGAACTTATTGTAAATCCACGTTGTAAAACGCACGACATTAGCATCAACGAATCGTGATCCTAGATCAGCGGCCCAGATGATGACACATCCAACAGTGATGGCAGCAAGCCCAACGCCCGTGCCATACTGCCAATACGTATCTGACCCAGTGAGGCCCAAGAAATATTTACCGAGCCAAAAACCCAAACTATGTAGGAAAAGCATATGGACTAGATATAGTGCGAACGACACCTGGCCAAGGTACTGCGCCAGCCTAGTTGTGAAGGGTTTCTGTAAGAATTGTGCGCGGTCAATAACTAAGATGAGGAAAACCGCCGAAAGAGGTTGCCAGAAGTAATCCGCAGCTCCTGAAGCGTGGAAGCGTGCCGGTATTAACGAGACCAATGTCTTGAAGCCAATGCTGTCGGCGGCGCCACGGCCCATTTCCGGCATACTAAGAACATAAAATCCGGCGAGGAAAGCAGCGACGGAGCATAGTCGATGAAAGGCTTGTCTCCGCCAAGACGCGAGTCGCCACTTACTTTGTTGAACTTCGACGTAGTTTTCGCTGAATCCGAGCCCTCTCCCCGTAGTCAGCCACTGAGAGCCAAGACTTGCATCGGCTACAAGCATGCCCCCAAGGAACAGGAACTCGCCCCAGTGGAATAACCATAGGGAGTATATTGCCACGCAGGTTGTGATTAAGACGCGGGCGCGCGTCGTGCATCTCGAAAGTGCAAGTAGCACGGTGAAGACCACCAAGGAGCTCTTGAACTCACTCGGGAGAGTCCATAATGAGTCACTATAAACCCAGTTGATGCCGCTGGGGCTGTATACGTCTGAAAGATTCACTAGAGTTCTTCCATAGTCGAAAAGTTGTTCCCAAATGGTATCGAACCGAGGTGGATTCATCGGCCTGATGGCTGCTCCAGGCATACCACCACTATTGCTATAGCCCCCAAAGTACGCGATGATTGGTGCTGGCAAGCATATGATAATAGCTGGTAAAAATAGTCTGGGGTGGCGACGGAAGGTCGAGGATACGAGGGTCTGATATGTCCTATGATGTTGGTCTTTCCGGAGGAGGCTTAAGGGCTTCCAGCTCAGCGCATATCCCGAGATTACGAAGAATATCATGACATTTGGTGGCCCCGAGATAATCAGTCGGATGATAGGAAGCCGGATGAGATGGTCGTTGGGGCCCCCCCAGCCATTGTGGATAACCCAAGAGAACCAAATCAGCGACATGTGATGCAGCACCACGAAGAACGCAGCGATTCCACGCAAACCATCTTTCATCTGTCAGCTTGGTAAGGCCTATACATATGTAGATAGATTCCTTACCCAACCAGGCAGTTGCGCGCAGTCTTTTGGACTCTGCTTGAGTATCTAATGCAAGAAGAAAACTAGGTAAGAGAATTCTGAGCTTTCGGGCCCACCGAAGTGCGACTGTTCTTTTTCTGGGGATGTCGCTACTCGTAGACAGATCAGTGGATTCGACATCAGAAACAGATCCTTCTGTCACTTCTCCTTTCTCGAGCTGGTCGGGCTCGTCTTCGAGCAAGTAGTAGCCCGCTGAAGTGTCGGTCCTTCGCAGCCTCAGCTGCTTAAGGATATGGTGTATCATTGCGTCTTGAGAGCGGACGAGCTTGATTAAGAAGAAGTAGAGTTTAAGTGTGAATAAACCAAAAAAACTAGAGAGAAGAAATGCCTAGATCCCCCCTTTGTTTTCTAAGGCAACCATGAGTGTCTTTACAATCATAGTCAACTCTAGTTGCTGTTCACTGTAGGACTTCCCATAGAAGCATAGTTCAATCTAAGAAGACGGCTACTACGAGCCATTCTCGACCCACGCCCAGATAGAACTATCCGCTAAATCTCGGTTCGTAGAGGTAATACATTGTGGTACTAGATTAGGCGCAAGTGGTACTGGGCTTTTTCGGCGAGCTCCTTGATAAATATGTTGGTCAAATATTTATGCGTTGTGAGAGAACGAAGCTTTAGCTATAAAGCTGCTGCCACGCGATCCTTGTTCTAACTTGATTGATTAGTTGTTGTCGTTCTTTAACGTCAAGAGAGGCTATATATAGATAGACCAAACCTCCCAAGGGGTACAAGACATGGTAAGGCTATGTGCTGTTTACATATGTATATCTACCAATTCGTACCTTAAGGGCTAGCCATGTATATAACCAGCGACCGCTCCTTCTGGGTCGTCGTGCCCCTATTTCTTATACGCTACACTAAAATAGACCGGGTATCTGGACGCCAATAGGTGTATGACTATAAACTGCGCTAAATATAAAGCGCGCGATCGTTCGTATTATCGAGCGCCTAGTGTATGCGCGGTTTTGTCGAGTACTTGGTAGTATTTGCGCAATTATTCTTATCGCTTATAGATTAGACATAAGTATATCGTTCGAGTCTGGAATACATCGCAATCCTTTCAGCTTGTCGCCTACTATGCTAGATGTCACGGGTTTCGGATTTAGTTCTAGTGAGGCAGTTTAATCACTTGCCTAGGTAGCTTATTTTGAATTTAGAGTTATCCGAGGACTTGAAATCAGTTACGCTCAAAGGAAGCTGGCAGATGTCCAGAGGTCATGTCAGTAGCTGATGTACATCTGCATTTCAGAGGCACCACACGTTGTGCCACTGCTCCAGAAACCCATAGCAGATACACAATCGCACCACTGGCGGTAGGTGTCTCAGAATAATCAGACCCTAAGCATCAAGTGCCGTCACACTGAGTTCCATTTACCACTCGATCCTCAGGTATGCAAGATCTGAATACGTCATATCATGTAATCGTGCTTTTCAGTGAGAAAAAAGCAATTAATATTGCAGACATACTTCTAGTGGAATTAATGGAGCACCACTAACGTGAAAGTCTTAGTTTGGTGTTCTGGTAATAGCAGGAAGTTAAGATATCCTTAGCTGAGTTTTAAATTAGTCAATGGTAGAAAGGTTCCTTATGAGATCGTTGTGATTACCTGTGAAACAGCTCAAATGTCTCTAATGACGAACAGAGGGGGATCGATACTCATGTTACAAAAACGTAAAGTGTTACAGCTCGGTAATCAGCGAATTACAACACGGCGTAACTGATCTAGAATGTTGAGAGCCCTTACGACCCGACCTTTTTTTTCTCGATTTCAGATATCGACTCTGCAATTATAGATAACTAATGCAGCTAGGCTTGGCAATCTGGTGTTACGACAGAGTTGAAATATTAGTAATGAAGTGACCAGTAAACAACATGCCAGAGAGGCCTCGGTAATATAAGGCAAACACATTGTAACTTATCCAGATTACCGGGACAATGCAGACAAGAATAGGAGACACATGTAGCATAATCACCAGTCAAATGCCCAATCCAACAAGCAGAACACCATTATCGTCTAGTGGTTTAGGATACCAGATTTTCATATAACACATAGAAAACCTCTGGGGACCGGAGTTCGAACCTCCGTGATGGTGCCTTTTTATTTCCTATTCTCTTTTTTTTGCTAGGTTCTAATGTGCTTGTCAATCGGCTCTGGATTTCATTTATTCAACTTTGTGTTCATGTTTATTTGCTACTACCCTGATAAGCGATCTATCTCTATTCGCCTTATATATCGTCTCATGCAAATGTGATTTGGAAGGGGTATGTAGATCTTCAACTTATTATGCACGTACAGTAGGAGCGAGCATCTAGCCATCATATTAGCAAGTGCCATACTGATCACGCGATACGATTCATATTCTACAAGAAATTAATGTTTGTGCATACACAATCATCGACATGACGTTATTTCAAACTTATCGGCCTATATTTTAAATGCTCCACGCCTAAATCTTATTCACAATTTCGCCACCGTTTTTACAGCACCCTTCGCGCCACCATTCGACCCAAACATCTCCCTTAGATCCGAGACAATTTCATCGGGGCATTCCCATGCTGCAAAATGCCCACCCCTCGTATGATCCTTCTCATACACGATGTTTCCGAGCACGTGACCCCAGTATCCAGGCAGAGAGAGAACATCGCGGGGAAAATGAGCCAGCCCGATCTTGACATCCTGCCATGCCGCTAGATCGTCGACATCCGAGGCCCAAATGCCCTTGGCCTGCTTCTCCTTGAAGGTCGCGGGGTCCTTGACGTGGATTACCTCATAGTACAGCTGGTGGGCAGCGCGTGGCCCCGCCGTTGAGAACCAGTAGATGCTCATCCAGGTACACACTTCGTCGTCAGTCCACGGGTAGCTGTCCGTCCAGTCGACGAGCTTCTCGTATATCCAGGCGAGAAGAGCGACGGGGGAGTCAGTAAGGCCGTATCCTAGGGTTTGAGGCTTTGTGCTCTGAACTGTGATGGTGTTGGTGATCAGTTCATCTGACTGCCTCAAGTCCAGCCATGAATGAAAGAGAGATCAAGCAGAGTTTTACTAAAAAAAAAAAAAAAAAAAATAAAAAAAAAAAAAAATTACTACATACCACTGAAATATCCGGAGCCTTCCTCCTTAAACCACTTAGAGCGCTCGAAACCCTTCTTCTCCCTGTCGGAAAACCCCGTAATGAACGCCGAGACCATGGTCCGCAGCAGGGCGACGGGGTTTCTCCTCAGGCTGGGCTGCGGGAAGCGATCCAGGTTCAGGTGCTGCGCCTTGACGTGTCTGGGCGCGTAGCGCCTGCCCATGGCCCTCGTGATGAGGAACCCCCAGTCGCCGCCCTGCGTGGCGTACTCGTCGTAGCCCAGGCGCAGCATCAGCGTGTGGAAGATCTCGGCGTGCTGGTCGACGCTGAAGCCGCGCCGCTTGGAGCCCTCGGAGAAGCCGTAGCCCGGCAGCGAGGGCACGACGACGTGGAAGGCCGGCAGCGACGCCTCCGCGGGCTCCGTGAGCGGGCCCAGGATCTTGGTCGCCTCGAGGAACGACCCCGGCCAGCCGTGCGCGAACAGCAGCGGGATCGCGTCCGCGCGGCTGCTGCGCTTGTGCACGAAGTGGACGTCCAGCGCCTCGAAGCCCGTCGCCTGGATGCGCGTGCGGAAGTGCGGCAGCTGGTTCAGCTCCGCCTCCGCCTTGCGCCAGTCGTACGTCTCGGCCCAGTGCGTCGCGAGCCGCTTGACGTTGGCCAGTGGCGCGCCCATGTCGGTGCCCACGTCCTCCAGCTCGTCCGGGAAGCGAGCGCGGCGCAGGCGTTCGCGCAGGTCCTCGAGCTCGGCGTCGGGGATTGCGATGGTGAAGGGGCGGATCTCGTCTGCCATGTTTATTTGCCTTGATCTTCTTTTCCTTTTACTTGGGTTTTTCTTAATTGATGATCCTCTAGCGTCAGATTTCCACGTCTGACTGGATAGGAAGGTCTGCTAAGTGGAAAGATCCCCTCGTGCTCTCGATTTCGGTGTAGGAATACAAAGAAAGTAGTGACTGCCGTCAAATGGCATTACCTTATCATGCCGGCAGTAATGAGCGGGTCCCCCTCAATAATAAGTTACAGTAAGTCCTACAACCAGGGGTCCAGCTTCTTTGCCCTGATTTGGGGGTTGGGGTTTAGCGCCCATATCCATGTGGGATAATGCAGCACGTTTACTCTGTAGACCAATAGGTACTGCGCGTGTCTTAGTTCCACAAACCGGTCAACCGGCCGGTTCGGATGCCTAGCAAACTGCCCCGGGTGATCCGCTCGCATCGGATGCAAAAGGCCCCGAAGCAACCGATATATACCACCCAGTAGAACACATACCAAAGAACACTCAATAATGCTTAAGAGTCTGAGCCACTCTTCCAATATATGCTGGGTCTGAAGTTACTCCAAGGCGAGGAACCGTCATTGGATTGAGATTACTCACCATCGAACTAATCTCTTGTCAAGTACTAGCAAATACAAATACCTACGAGAAATATGAATTTCTAGTAGTACCAAGCCACGATCTCAGACAGGTTTTGTAGTAATAACATCCTTCCGAACTACGCCAACCTCATCGGACGTCAGCTTATAAATTCCAAGTCTGCTCGACTACAAAAAGGGAAGGGATTTCGCTACATTAGACCCTCCCGGCGAAGGGCGCACCGCCCAACTCCTTTCATATGAACCAGAGCGTTGTGCCAAGCACGAGTGCATGGCATAGCGCATGGGTCACAACAGCGAAAATGTCCAAGCAAGAAAAACCGGCAAGCTGCAGCAGTAAGGAACCCCCGCATAATTACCATAATAATCTCTTCAACCATCTATAGCCGCGATGAAGAAGTTGTCGCCCTTGAACCGAGGGTAGTTGCGAAGACCGATCTGCTGCATCTGACACTTCTGGTCGGGAACAAGGATGGCTGGCCGCTAAGGTAGGACGGAGGGTCGGCGCGGACGTCATTTTCAAGACCCAAACACCCACTTCAGACCCGCTGCGCAGCTCGAACATCACCCACGTCTGCTGCGTTCTAACTATTCTCGCAGACTTCTAAATATCTCAAAGTAGCTATCAGCAGGTGGACAAGCTAAACTAGCAGTGTGGTCTTGATTATGTTGGTTACCGTGCCAGCATCACGCATGATCAAGACAGAGGGGCAAGTAGCATCGAGGTCGGTCGAAATGTTGGTTGTTAGTGTATAGACTAACACGCATGCCGGCGTGCACTTAGAAGGGCAACGAGCGCTGTTCCGCTAGCGGCACGGTACCCTTTGTAGCGTCCGATGCCTATTCAGGATGTCAATGTGCGTATAGCGTACAATTGGCAGGAAAAGAGCTCAAAACAGCTCTACCCGACATGCCTCTTCAGACTTTATTCACATCGTAATCCGAGCACCAGACACAATTAGTGGGCTCGTCCATCCGAGGACTTCATGTTAACGTTAACTTCGATTCGCTCACTTCCCAGGTCAGAGTATATATTTTCAAGTAAATAAAAGTGTATAATTTATTAGATCCAGTCTCAATTTATTGTATGCCATTCCGTGGTAATGCCCCTAGTATTAAATTATCGCACCCGAGGTTTTGTTATTTGCCATTCGTTACATTAAGACGTCAAGTAGTATCTGAATTTCCAGAAGGCAGAGCACATACAGTGCTCAATTCTGGGGGTTCTTGCTCATGCCACCACTTCATACAACATTGCTGGGATACTCAACCTTCAGCGTTGGGCCAAACTCCTCCTTGATGCTCCTCACGCTCACGAACCGGCCAAGGAGGTTCATGCTACCCGCCTTGTCGTTCGTCCCGCTGGCGCGTGCGCCTCCGAACGGCTGCTGGCCGACCACGGCACCCGTGCTCTTGCAGTTGATGTAGAAATTGCCCGCCGCGTTGCGTAGCGCCTCCTCCGCGACGCGGATAGCCGCCCGGTCGCTCGCGAACACAGAACCCGTCAGCCCGTACTCGCTTGTATTATCGACAAGCTTGCAGGTGTCAAGGAACGCTTGTGCCGCGTCGCCCGTCGTGTCATCATAGACGTAGGCAGTGAGAATGGGTCCGAACAGCTCGGTGCTCAGGAGCTTGTGTGTGGGATTTGTGGTCTGGTAGATGGTAGGGTGAATAAAATAGCCCTTTGAGCCGTCGTATTTGCCGCCGACTAAGAGTTCTAGCTCCGAATCGTTCTTGGCGTCGTCGATAACGCCTGATAACTTCTTGAAACTGGGCTCGTGGATGACGGGCCCAATGAAATTCTTAGGGTCCCAAGGAACTCCTATCTTTAGAGCGCTCGCTTCCTTGACGAGTTTCTCCTTGAACTCGGGCCAGACTGACTTGGGCACGTAGAGGCGGCTTGTAGCGCTGCACTTCTGACCCTGGTACTCGAACGCGCCGCGCACAGTCTGCACAACAGCATTGTCAATGTCCGCGGAGGGGTGAATCAGGTGGAAGTTCTTGCCGCCCGTCTCACCGACAACCCGTGGATAGCCTTGGTACCGACCTTCTGCGGTGCCTTGCCCGATCTGGCCATAAAGCTTTCGGAAGACAGCCGTGCTCCCCGTGTAGTGAAGTGCAGCAAATTGTTTGTGTGCGAGAACAACCTTCGTGACCTCCTCGGGGTTGCCAGGGACGAATTGAATAACGTTCTTGGGTAGTCCAGCCTCGAGTAGAATGTTGTAGAGTAGCCAATTAGAGGCGATAGCAGAATCAGACGGCTTCCAGACCACCACGTTACCCAGTAGTGCAGGAGCGCCAGGTAGGTTACCTGCAATAGCAGTGAAGTTAAAGGGGCTCACCGCGTAGACGAATCCCTCAAGTGGTCGGTACTCGACCCGATTCCACACGCCGGGAGAGTTGTGAGCGGGTTGCTGAGCGTACATCTCCTCGGCATACTGGACATTGAAACGCAGAAAATCGCACAGCTCGGCGGCGGTATCGATTTCAGCTTGCCAAATATTCTTGCCTTGGCCTACCATGGTGGCAGCCATAATCTCGTATCGATACTTGGTCGAAATCAAATCGGCTGCCTTTAGAAACACGGATGCTCTATCGGCGAAGGGCAGAGATTCCCAAGCTGTCTTTGCAGCCAGAGCAGCATCAATGGCAGT